CAGGTAATTTGTAAGTCACAAGGTTGAAAGGTCCTGAGGAAGCAATTCATCAATTTCGCGAGTCCTTTCATGTGACGGTGATCAAATACTGGAGGGAATACTCGATAATTGGGGTCGGATGGCCTTATAGCCATCATAAAGCTTTTATTCCAATGAGCTTCTATTAGACTCAAATGCGAAGAAACAAATTTCAAAGAAGAGCAGTTTTTCAAAGCTATTAAACTGATATTGAAACTACTCCGGTAATGACCGATTCAGTTACATCCACAAGTGGGTAGGATTTTAGGTGACCACATGGCTTACTGCAAAACGGGCCATGTACGTTAACAATGTCCACTATTTCGAGGAATTTTCTATTACCTTGTGAGAACCACGGGCCCTAGTTCACCCTAAGTAGGAATAGAAGTTAAGCGTGCGGCGCGGAAGTCGTGCTTTTCGTGAAGGAAAAAAAGAGCGAGTGGGGTGAAGACTCCCCACGAATTACAAAAAAATGGTATTGTGGCTGTTATTCATCTCTTTCCATATGGCCCCGGACAGGTTTTATTGAATATCAAGTGTGGATGTGGTATATTTAGCAAGAATTCGCAGAGTTTGGTATGAATGAGTCATTTCTTGCTTCTGAGGGGATACTTGCAAAAATGAAGTTCTTCATTCTGAAAAATATCGTTTTTTCTAATACCGCCTCTTATGATTCCATGACGTTTTTTCTTGCACAGACGATCTGTATAGACTTTACGGGGAAAGAGCGGTAGTAGTACAGAAATCGCTGTTTTTTTGTTCCGGCTCCTATTTTTCACTCCATTCCTCTAACGTTTAAGTACATTTCTTTCTTGTTATTCGCATTTGCGCCATGAAAAAATTGTTTTCGTGTTAGTAAGGAACTCACTTAGCAGTCAATTTTTTCTCGATAGTGTATGCCATTACATTGACACCGGCGAGGCCGTGCTCTCTGAGATCGGCGCCGAGTTCCTCGTCGAGTCGTGATAGACGAAGACCGATTGGTGAATGTTGTAACGTCTGAAAATATGAGGGGAACGCTATTCGTAAACTATCAATTGTATGCTATGCCAGGGGGATGAAAGCCGGTTCGGAAGGCAGTTTCTACGAAAAATATTCATTTGTAGTTTGGCTTGATGTCGAGGTAGCTAGTGATTTGTAGCGCCATTAGAAGTCAATTTACTTCCTACTACAACTACGAGTTTACTTCCTCCCTTTCACTTGGCGCTTTCCAGTAGTTCCAGGGAGGTTGTCATCATTATCCCTAGATATGAAAAGAAAGTTGTATAGCGAGTTGAGCAGTACGACGTCCAATAACGGGGATGAAAGCTTTACATAGGATTTTTGCTTGCTACTTCCATCACCGGCTATCAGAAAGGCGAATTTGTACGTCGTATTCCAATTTGGACGATGTCTCCGAAGGGATATAACCGACCATTCAACATGGCGTCGCCTT